TTTTTTTTTTTTTTTTTTTTTTTAAATTAAATAAGTTGTATTTCTTGACAGCTGCGAATGTCTTAAAATATTGATAATCAGTATCATTTGTTATTTATAATATAATTTATCACCATTATTTGTAACTTATAATATAATTCCTATGTAATGTATGTACAAATTGTTTGTAATATTCCACAGATATTTACATTTCCGCTATGATCTCGGCGCTGGCGAAGTGGACATACGCTTCAATGGAACCAAAGTCAGCGATGGCCTTTGGCATCGGGTCAGAGCTATACGGTAAGTGAAACAGAACTAAATAAATTGATGTAAAACTCTTCTTTAACTTTTGCATAATTTTACAGAAACTCCCAGGAAGGTTATTTGGAAGTGGACGGACGCAAAACACAGACGCTGCGTACGCCGGGCAAGCTGCGACAACTGAACACCGATACCGGACTCTATGTTGGTAAGTGTTTACCTTGCTTTATACTTAATACCAACTGTAACTAATATGTATTTTATTGGATCAATTTGACTTGCTTGTAGGTGGAATGCCTGATGTGGCATACTTCACGCATCAGCGCTATTTGAGTGGAATTATTGGCTGCATATCGGAGATCGTTTTGGCTGGCGAGAAATTGAACTTTGATCCAAATACGTTGGGCACAGCGCACAACGTGGAGACGGGCCTACTATGAAACGCTGCACTTACATAAGCCTCAAGACTTTTGATACATATATCAAATAGTTTAAATGTTATTATTTAATTAACGAAATGTTTACAAATTTGTCTATTTCGTTTGTGTTTGTACAAAGACGCTTTTAAAATCAACTGAGAATGAAACAGAATGATAAAGAGAGAGGAAAAGGAAGAGAATGAAGTAAAAAGAAGAGAATTGAGTTCTAGTTGGGAAATTTTTTTACGCCAAGAGATGAGCTGAGAAGTAACTAAAGTAAATATAGTAAACCATACTACATATAATATATATAGTGCATACAAAACCATAATGATTATATACAAATGCATACATATAAATATATATA